TGTCTGGCTTCCCACCACAAATGTTCTATTTATGGTCATGGACATCACTCATGTTCTTTTATTTCTTCGTTGTTGTTTGCCTATTTCATTTAACTCAAGCTCTTCGTTTGATATCAAGCTCATCTAGGGTTTTCACGACGATACTCCCTACTCGTTTAATTTGAATAATAACGTATTTTTTTATTTTTTATAACTCATTTTAATGAACGTTTGACAAGTTGCCTTCACGCTCCAGAAACATTTTTTTGATCCACACAACTCGAAATGAGAATTTTTCTCCGATTTTCGGTTTAATGAAAGAACTATCAAGCCGAAAATACCCTTAGCCTAGGTTGCTACTAATTTCCTGAGGTTTTGCAATATGAAAACCCTGTTTAGTTGAACATAAGTAAGGTATTTCAATATTTATGAAGACATATTTTTTGTTTCTTTTTATTATACATTGTAACGTAACCAGAGGCTTTACAAATTCCACTTGAAGTCCTACTTTGATCATTAGACAAAATGGTGAAATATATAGAACAACTTGATATTGTTCAATTCTTTGCAATTTCTGCTTCATTTCCTCTACTTTCTTTCCTTTATGCAAGAACCGTTGTGCATTTTGAAGAAGAGCTTTTTCGCTTCAATGAAAGCAACAGCTTGCATATGATTCGTGATCAGGAATACTGCTTGACGGAGTAAAATCCAGAGAATTGGGGAATGCAGTTTCTTCAAAATGCAGTTCGGGCTGGGAGCTAAACTTTGAAGTTGGCATTTTGCACCTCTTGTACCATCTTTTCCGTCAATTCAAAGCAAGCATTTTTTCAAGCACAGGAACTTGACTTTCAATTTTCTGTTTGAAAATGGAAAATTCAATTAGCTAAAAGCGATGACAAGTTTTCGGTAGAGCAAGAAGATTCATATCATAGCTGGTACAAAGTTCTATGAAGCGTGTAAAAATAAGCATACATTGAATCGGGAATTGTCCAAAGAAACTATTATGAAGTTTTTTCAGATATATTCTCCTTTGTGACTTTTTATTCAAATAACATTAGAACCTACGGCTAATGCTGGTCCA